CCCCAAAACCCCAAAACCCCAAAACCCCGGTTCATGAAAGAAAGATTGATTTTAAAAGATTCTTATTTGCTCATATAAGAAGGTGCTTTTATGTAAGAATTTGATAGACTTAAAGTAAGAAATTAGTAACACGTTGATAAATGCTGCCCGCTCAATGCAGATTGTACATTATTTTTAATATTCTTGTTTTATCTCATAAAATTTCAAATTCAAATTTCGAAAGTATAGAAAGTTTAACTCGGATGGAGTTTACGAGTGTTTGCCCGACCGCTCCCTCTAACAACTTATGAGCGCTTCTTTACCTTTTAAGTCTCGCAGGTTTACCATAGTTTTCCTTTTCTAAAAAGCAGGATGGAGGAAAACTATTACATAAAATCATTTTTTATAATTGTTAGAACTAGAAATAAGTAAATATTTGGATGATTTTTCTCGAGATGGAGCATGCCATACAATCCTCCCCCTCATTATGAGTGTTTTCTAATTCTTCTGGTTTTTCTGATGCAGTAAAGAATAACTCTTCCTTCCTTGATTCTTGGCTGGATTATTTTGGTCAGTATTCTCATTATAGATAACAGAGTCTTCTTCATCTAAGCTCTCTTGAATTGGATCTCTTGACTTAAAATTTAGTCTTGAGTTAGCAATTTTATTAAGAGAAATCATTGGTAAGCCAGCATCATTGGAATTTTTATAAGGCTCTCTGGTACAATAAGAATTATATGTATTCTATATAAACAGCATTATGGGAGATCAAGGCTTGGGAAAATAAATGTTGATACAAAAGAGTTTTACATTAGTGAAACTGTAGCAAACATATTTAACTCACAAAGATCAATATTTGAAGATATATGGTGATTTGGTAATAAACTTCGTGCTTCGAGAAGTTATTTTTGGGAATGTGCCAATGATACTGACTAATAAGAGCAGATGGCAAATAGAAAGATTGTCTGGAATGAATAGTAAAAAAAAATCTGATAAAATCCTTAAAATCTAAGTTTCTTGCTTTAGAGACTCTAAAGTCTTGAAAAGCCTGAGTTTTAATGAAAATAGCTCTATTTTTTACAGATCTTCCAAAGCAATTAAAGGTTAAAGGAAAGTGTTTGTCAGCCTTATTTGAAATCTGTTTAAGCTTACTGAGTGTTCTATGCTTGAAGGAAATTCTTTCTTTTCTTCCTCTTGTTTATTTTGTATTGTATTTTTCATAAAGCTTATCAACCTTATTAGAGTCAGTGTTTTTGTCTTTATCCATCAGATAGGACACATAGAGCTTAAGCTCCGTGAGTGACCTTGAGATCTTAGTAACATCAAGTTCCTCTTCTATTTCCTTTAAGATTCTGCTGTTCCGTCAAATTTCTTTGATCCTTTTTACTTGAGCAGTAAATTTACTCTGTTTGTCTTGATACAATGTGCTTCGATCATTAGCTGTGTTCACGTTTTCTTCAGGGTTGACTTTGTTTTTAGTCAATCCCATATACCGGAGACCTTCTCCCTTTAATCTTCTTCTCGTTGTCTCTTCTTTTTCTATAGGATCTGTAGAACATTAAATTAGCAAAGGGGTTTTGTTATGAACATTTAGGAAGGCAAAATATTGCAAAATTAATGATAATTCTCTCTATATTTTATCTAATATACTAAATTCCCATATCTAAAGAAATTGGAGATTTTGCAGATTTATCTATCCTAATTCTTATTGTACAAACTTAGAGTTGGCTATCAGTATTTAGATTCTACTCAATAGGACTAATCTTTTGATTTATCACTAAAATTATAAATCCTCGTTCCTAATCATCTCAAGCTTTCCAGTTCTTAAGAAAGAGCCTAATGATGAGTATTCTACGGTTGTCTTAATTTGAGTTAATTCCAGCTGTTCATACTGCTAGATCAGAGGACAAAATTAATAAATAAAACTAATTCTAAGGCTCTCGGTGTTATTGTAGACTTATCATAGTCTATCTTTTTCAATTTCCAACTATTTTTAGCATTGGAGCTTTTTGATCCCAAGAGTTTGAGAAATTTAGAAATAAACCAAAATTAGCATCTTATCTAGATAATTTTGTAATTTATTTAATAAAATTTGAAGCCGCATAATTTTTAAGAGAGATCTTTCATACATCAAGACATAACTAAACTTTTGTTTGTCTATGACATCTCCTTAATTCTTTTATCCTAACATTCAAATTTTGTAATAATTTTTTTTACCATTTTGGATTTGCACAGGAAATGTAAACCATTCTTTGTGATTCTTCACTTTATTCTCAACCTTGTCAATATCTCTGCGATATAAATATATAGCAACTATTTTGACGAGAAATGAACTGGATAAATATAAGATTTCAAAAAGACCTCCTATTTGACCAAGAACTTCTAGAAAACTGATTACTGTTGTCTCATAAGTTTGAATAAAGTCATTTACATTAAATGATAAGATTACAAACGTTGAGCCATCACCTCTCTTTAGTTCCTGGTAAGTACAGCCATCGATATCAAAGAATTCTCCTTTCCTACTTCGGGTAATAATTGAGTGCCAATCATTAACAACATATCTGTTTCGGCTTAATTTTCAATCAACTAATTTGATGCTTCCTTTAGAGGAAGGTACCGAAATCTGATCATGAATGTAAGTCTTTATTGGACTTAATGGATCTGAGTCGTCATAATACTTGCTGATAACAGTCAGATAAATAAAGTTATAATATTCAATACTGCTTTTTCCTGAATCTTCTCATACCCCGTTAGGTCAGGGTTGAAAATATAGCATAAAACGAAGATTTCTTCCTTTAGAGATTTCTCTTTGTATGACTCTCATTAAGTCATTTCTCTTGAATCAATAGAGAGTATGTCCATGCCTTCCTGCAAAACTTGGATCATTGGGATCTAGAGGCATGCTTGTTTGATTACATTTTTCTATTTCAAAGGAAAATATTGGATTCTCAATATAATCTTCTCCTTGAGGCACAGTCTCAGCGACATGAACAAAAGCAGACGCTAGTCTTTCTTCTAATAAATCTACATCTTGATCTCCTGCTTTTCCCACCCAAGAAAAGGCGAGATAGAGACCTGCTTCATTGAGAGTTGTGTTTATAGGATTTTTGCCAAAATCAGTCCTGATCTTATTAATATTGGTCTGGAGCATCGTCCTATTAAGCATAGAGGTAACTAATCTGAATCCATAAAACCCTCAGATACCAAAGATTATGATCGATAAAATAGTTCCAAATATGGTGGCATAGGCTTTCTGTCCTTTGAAACTTAGTGTAAACTTTTGTGTGAAAATATCAATCGATGTAAAGCTGTGATAGATGCGACTTCTTAATTTCCCCATTCTCGTCTCTTTTTTATATTTATATATTACAGTTCAATAATTTTCTTTATATCAGGGGTTTTGGGGTTTTGGGGTTTTGGGGTTTTGGGG